TTCACGGGATTATCACACCCCGTACGTACATGTGGGACTACATTGTGCGCCATAAATATGTACAGTTATGATGCCTCAGTTTAAAAAGGAAAAACTCGCTTCTACCAAAATTTGATAGTCATGTCTATTCTCTTATAGTCCTGTTTTTTTCATTTAATTTCTTAAAAGTTCTAATTACCTTTCTTGCCATTGAGTCATGCTTAAATATTTAAATGTTGTCCTTAGCCTTTACTTATCTCTGAGCCAAAGTGCATAAAATTTTTTTAAATATCAAAGAAATGATAAAAAAAACTGTAAGCTCCATGATTGATTTTTCTGGTATTATGGGAGAGCCTGTCCTTTGTTCAGTGTCTGACTTACTCTTCTCTGATGATATCTTTTGGATGGGTAGCTCAAGAGGTATTTTCTTAAAATAGAAAGTGTCATTAGGTGGAAGAGTTGTTTTGTTTTGTTCTGAATCCTTGAACTGCTCAAAAGTAAGAAAAACAGAAAAAGATCTCCCAGTCCAGACATGGCAGCACAGGCCTATAACCCCAGCACTTGGGAAGCTGAGGCAGGAGGACTGTGAGAGCAAGAGCAGCTGGGAAACATAGCCTGACTCTGTCAGGAAGAGCGAGGGAGAGGGAGAAGAGAAGTATCCCCCACAACTCACTAGTACACAAGGTGGTGACCTCTGACTTTCCGGTGCCTGTGGGGCACTGGCGTGCCCGGCACAGCCTGACCCACAGGGACACAGTGCTTAGGGAGCGAAGGTGTGTTTGTGTCCCTCAGACACGTGGCCCAAGTCCTCGCCCCATGCCTTCTTTTACTCCTTTCTCCCGATACTGAAGGTAACCAAAGCATTCCTCCCTGAAGTACAGTAGGAAGGGTCACTGAGCTACAGACAGAGGAGCTCTGACTTACTCTGTGTTTGCCTAAGGGATTTAGAGCGCAACCGTTTTTCTTTTCTCTGCCCCATTTCCCCCTGAAACACAGGATGTAAATTCTCCTTTACAAGCTTTTTCAGCTCAGAGACAACCCCAGAGTGATGGAATCTGGCTGTAGACCATACCCCATTAGTTCATTTCCCATATATTTTCTTTCTGTTTCTCTAACAAAAATACCTGACATAATAACTTAAAAAGAGGAAAGAGTTCAGTGCATGGACTGTTTCCATGGTGTGGACGCGGGACCCACTGCTCCGGGACCTCGTGGACGCCGAGTTCAGGACCTATGACCTGAGTCTCTCCACCGTGCACCCACGCACGAACTGCTCTGGGGCTACGAGGATCACTGCTGTCACTGGCCCACACCTTCAGCATAGAATGCAGATGCACAAGGATCCATGTAGCCCTAGGAGACAGCCTAGTGTCTCCTTTACAGATGAGAAACTGAGGGCAGAAGCAGGAAACTTCTTGGTCCAGAGCAAATACTGCAGAAGCTGGGGCTGTACACAAAACCTGGCAGGTCTGAACTTAACTTCTACCCAGCGTGCTCAGTTACTTCTTCCCGGGCCTGGTGCAGGTAGGAAAGAACTCTGCCACTGAGCAATATCCCCAGCCCTCAGTTACTTCTTATACTAATTCTTACCAGAGAATTAAAGAAATGAAGGAACCCAAATGACTAAAAGATAAGTGTTAGTTTATTCAGCATCTTGGAGTAATTAATGCACAGATGTTAACTTTCCAGGTAATTAAAATTATCCTCTTTGGTTTCCATCTCTCTCTTTCTTTTTTGAGGCAGGGTCTCTTTATGCAGTTCAGGTTGGTCTTGAACTTAACAGGTAGTCCAGGCAGGCCTTGAACTCTAGGCATCTTCCTGCCTCAGCCTCGTCAGTGCAGGGATTACAGGGATGCCCCACCACGCCCAACCTTGGTTTTCTGTGCATGCCTGGCACAATCTGCTCCCAGCAGGAAAACAGTTTCTGTGGTTTGGGAAACCTTGTCTTTGTCTTATTGAAATTTATTGAGAAACTCAGTCAAGCTGCAAGATTTAAAGTGGCTGGTGCTTTCAGGCTCAGTTTCCCCTCAGACATCAGGTTCTTATAGGGGAAGCATTGAGGACAAAATTTCATTTAAAAGTCACCCCTGGAGTCAGTACATACAAATATAAATGAAGCAGGCTGTAGGTCTGCAGTTATTCAGGCTTTTGGGTTTGTAGGACTTGGGTGAAGAAAACAAAAAGGCCTTATCAAGGTCACTGATGTTTGTTTTTGTTTATTTTGAGAGAGGTCTCGCCATGTGGTTTAGATTGGTCTTGAGCTCACCGTGTGGCTCCGGCTGTCCCTCAAGCTCGAGTTCCAGGATTACAGGTGTGCATTACCACATCTGGTAACGTCACTCATCTGTCATATTGACCAGTGAACTTGGCAGAGTTGATGTCTGGACTTCTGAGCTTGTGTCGACCTAAAGTCAGGTGACCACAATTTTAATGTGGTCCTGACACTTCCTAATTGGCCCCCAATCTCCATGTCCTCATCTCTGGAAGCACTGGGTCATGATTCCTAGATGAGGGGTCTTTGATGAAAAGCAAGACAAGCTCCTGGCTAGGTTACATGAGAAGGGGCTCTCTTTGAAGGCGCTAAAGGACGTGAGCAGAATCAAAGGGAGCTGCTTGGAAGAGACGCAGGACTCCAGAGAGCCCCTTCTCAGGAGTCTCTGCATCAGCACCCCAGCGTGCACCGTGCAGGGAGCCCAGCTGTCCAGAGTTTGCCTGAAGACTTTGGGGCTGAGGATTCCGAGGCCACAGGAGTTGGGTGTGCCTGAGGGAAAGGAGACCGGCACCATCACCGGAGGACAAGGGTGTGGATGTACACAGCCCAAGTGCACTGCAGATGCCGCCCACCCTGACAGCGTTCTTGTGTGTGTCTCGTGAACAGGAAAGACTGTGACATTTTCTTGCTCGTAATTACTTAGATGTGGCATTTGCTGGGCACCTTTCAGGAGAGGCTGCCTGACTCCAAGGGAAGAGAACTGTGTGCTGGCGAGATGGCCCCGCATGCAGCTCCCATCGTATGTCCTGTCCCTATCTGTGACAGCAGGGCAGCGGTACATGCTCTGTCTGAACTGCAGACTTGCTGTGTGGACAGAAAGAAATGAAGTGGGTTAAAGTGTGTAAAGAGCCGTAAGAGCACCGGTGTGGGCGATCACCATGCGCAGCTTGGTGCTTGGTGCCGTGAAGATGCACAGACTTGCCTGTTCTGGACAGATGTAACAAATAATATTTGTTATTTTCTCATTGATTCTTATTGTAAAATCTAGAAAGATTTTGGCACGTTTAAAGAAGTCTAAAACATGCAAGTTTCTGCCTTTTGCTTACTTGTGTTCTGTCTGGACCTGCACAATAATTCCTGCACTATTGAAATTATGTTACCAGGAGTTCGTAACAGTGTCAGAGACTTACAGAAGGCACAAGGCAGAGCCGGGGAGGAGAAGCTGGGGGAGGACGCAGTGGCCAGGAGCAGTCTGGGAGGGGCGGGCGGGCGGCCGCTGTCTGGTGCCTTCCTAACCAGGTATTTGGGTGCCAACTCTGAGAGGACTTCTGTCCAAACCAAACAGGACGTGAACCGTTCTGTGACATGATTTTTAGTACTGCATTTTTAAAATAAACTAGTGGAATTTATGTTAACAATATATTGTATGTTACTAATTATACCTAAAATAACATCAATTGAGCATGTAATCAGTGTTAAAGAGGTATGGAGATAACTTCTGTCGGTACTGGTTTTGAAATCTGGTCTGTATTTTACACTTAGAATATACCTAGATTCCAGTGAGCCACAACGCAGGTCTCCAGAGTCACCTGTGGCGAGGGCTGCCCTGTCAGAGGAGCCCTGCCGTGCAGGAGGAGGGGGAGGTCGGAGAGACAGATGAGGGGCTCAGCAGGCACCGCGCAGCGCCAGGCAGGCCGAGCTTGAAACAGGCGCTGGACGGCTAGCTCATGCTCTTGCTCGGCTTGGCCGTGTCTGTGCCTGTTGAGCACTGCGGCCCTAACTTCGACTTCAGTGGACGCGCGGAGAGCAGCCTTGTCCTGCTTCGGTCCCATTCTGTGCTCAAGGCGAGCCTGCGCCTTCATGTTCCACCAGGCCTGATACCAAGTATTTTATTGTTTTTTAAAAATTTACTTTTTATTTATTTATTTATTTTGTCTTTTTGAGACAGGGTCTCGCAGTGTAGTTCAGGCTGGCCTGGAGCTCACTTTGTAGCCCAGACTGGTCTTGAACTTGCAGTGATTCTCTTACCTCAGCCTCCCCAGTGCTGAGATTACAGGCTTGCCCCCCTGTGCCCGGCTGTTACCAAGTATTTTTTTAAAATGTAACTTTATTGTTAGTTGATATGATAATTATACGTGTTTGTGGGTCACAGTGTGATGCTTCAGTGCATATGCGCAGTCTGTCGTGAGCAGACGAGGGTGATGGGCATTTACCCTCTCTTTGAGTTGGAACCCTGAGGACCCTTTCCACCAGCTCTTTGAAATACTTAATTTTTGGTGTCAAGCACAGCGACCCTACCGTGCTGCTCCACGCCCTTTCGGAGAGCTCTCTGGCAGCCCCTCTAGAGGAGCCAACCTGAACTGGGTGTGGGAAACCAGCGTGAGCTCTTCTCACTCGCTCAGCCTTGTGCCTCGGCGTTCCAAGTGAATTTCCAACCGAATTCAAGTTAGAAATAAGGTGACCATGGCAAAAACACTGAAATTTAAATGGAATCTATGAATTGAACTGAAAATTTTGGAAACATTGCAGGACCAAACCACAGCCCAGGAGAGAGTGGCCTTGCTTCCCTGGTCACGGTGCCCTCACTTCATGCATCCGCAGTTGGGGGAAAAAGAAGGAGAACAGCAGTTTCCTGAGAATAGTCTGGGCCACTCCCCCTCGCAGTGCAGCCTTCACCCCCAGATTGTGAGGCTCGGTACCCGAAGTCTCTTGGAATAATTATTATATTGGGACTGCTGTGCTGAAAGAGGTAACTTTGATACTGAAAAAGGAAACATTTCATTTTCAAATAAAATCATTTTTCTTTTAGGGAGATCAGAAACAAAGCCAATATCCAATTTGGAGATAATGGAACAACAGTATCTGCTGTTAGCAACAAGGCCTATGTTTTTGAACGAAACCAATCTGTCGGAGACCCTAAAGTTGATTTAATTAGAACATTAAATATTCCTGCATTGGTAAGTAGCAATCCTAGTATCATTTTGATACAATTTAATATCATTTGTGGAATTCAGAGGAAAATAAAAAGGCAAGGCAATTAATGGTCTTACATTAGGAGGTATTAATGTTTATATATACATATACATATATATATACACACACGCACACACATACATAAAAAGAAAAATACATGTTTGTCTTTCCTTTCTTTAAGGACCATCTTAGTTTTTTCCTGAGATCTATCAAAGCCTTTCCCAGTGACAATAAAATACAATTTTTAATTTGCATAATTTCTTGTGTGTGAAGGATTAGCACTTGTGTGAATAAATACGGGTTTTTGGGAGTAGCTTGTAATTTAGAACCTTTTTTTTGCCCTTTTGTGTTAGAAACTGTAGCAGTAGGGTCAGCATATCACGTCTTAGTTCAGATTTCTATCTTCTGCATTTCCCCAATAATAAGACCTAAGGAGAAACAGCCAGCCTTGAAAACTAGAGATGGAGGAGGCCCACACCGATCAGCCTCTCCCTGCCTCACCCGCAGTCACTGTTCTTTTTTGCTCCGTAGCTCCTCTGTAAGGCAGGTGAGACAAGGCCTGGCTGATTGGGGCTGGCCTTTTTTTTCTTTGTCTTTTTGAGAGAGGGTCTCTCTATGCAGTTCAGGTTGGCCTTGACCTCACTTTGTAGCCCAGGCTGGTCTCCTCCTGCCTCAGACTCCTGAGCGCTGGGATTACAGGTGTGGGCCACCACGCCCAGCGAAGGGCTGGCATTTTTGCTTTCTAGTTTTCAAGGCTGATTGTTCTCTGGTTAGGTCTTATTTTCGGGGAAATCGGGATTGTATTTTAAATTCTCAAAACGTATGAATCGACTTCCGCCTTGCTTTTCGAACCGCAGAGCCTGGGCTGTTGATCCGCGCCGGCTCTGGCTCCCCTACTGGGGGACTGCACCTGATAGCGCGCCCTGTACTTTGCTGAGAGCCCAGAAACGCCTATGCTACCCCACCTCTGGGGCCGCAGCCAGGCGGCTCCTAGGAGGGAGGGCGGAAGGGCACCCCTTCCTGGCTACCGAGGCCTGCGCCGAGGTCGGCCTGCGGCTTGGGGAGGGCGGCTCTCGGCTCCAGACCCCAGCTCTGCCCGCCGCCTGCGCCGCGGAACGAACCAGCGTGTTGTGTCCGCAGACGGCCATGGCGTGGACGCGGGACCCCCTGCTCCGGGACCTCGTGGAGGCCGTGCTTAGGACCTACCAGCTGGAGCTCTTCGCCACGCGCCCCGCGCACGAGCTGCTCTGGGGCTACAAGGACCCGCTGCTGTCGCTGGTGCACGCCTTCAGGCCTGACATCCCCGCATACTTCGGCCTCTTCTACCAGGTGAGCGCGGCCCGGGCTACGGGTGCGGACCGAGGGGCGGGCGAGGGGGCGCCAGGCACCCGCAGTCCGGGCTCGGCGGCGGTATCGCCGCCTGCAGTAGGAGCCCCTGTCTGGAGAACCATGGGGGCTCTTGGAAAGGGGGAGATCCGAGCAAAATGGGTAGTTGAGAAATTGGTAGTAGACAAAATTAACTCCAGGAACGAAGTGTTAGATTAGAGGCGGACTCTGAGACTGCGCTGCAGGCTCATTTTCGAATTTACAGTTGTTAGCCGGGGGTAGTCATGTACACTTGAAATCCCAGTGATTGGGAGGCTGAGGCAGGAGGATCACAAGTCTGAGCCCAGTCTGGGCAATTTAGTGACTTAATGAGACCTTGTCTCAGAATTTAAAAAAAAAAAATTAAAAGTGCCAAGATGTCGCTCAGTGTGAAAGCGCTGGATTAGATCCCCAGTACCGCAAAAACGAATAAATAAGAATTTAAAATAGTCGTTTTCAGGGTCTGCCCGTCCAGGGTCCTGCTCTGAACCTCGTAGGCTCTCTGCAGTCGTCTCCGCCTTCCAGAGAACCGAGAAGCTGTTCCTGCGAAGGGAGCGGGTCGCTGAGACGCTGTCCGAGAGCAGCCGGTCCTGAGCGCGTGAGCGCGCGGCGCCGGCCCTGGAGCCACAGCCTGCCGGGTCCCTGAGAAAGTCCGCTCGGGGACGGGCTCCGGGCCCTGGGGAGTGCTGGGTTTCCTGTGAAGCTGTGACTGGAACCTCCTTCTAGAAGTAGGTTCCAGCCCCCAGAGCCCAGCTTTCCCCTGGTGCTCACTCTGTGCCCGCGGAGCCCGGCCTCTGGCCTCTGTGTCTCAGTTTTCACCCTGCGGTCTGCCCTTTCCTGCCGGAGTCCTTGAACTCGAGGACTTCTAAGGTGTGTGGGGGGGAAGACTTCCAATGGTCCGGGGGTGGTGCTGTCACCACGGCCCGTCCAGGCTGCCCACTGGGGTCCTAAGCTGATCACCAGCAGGGAACTGAGGATACAGCGTTTAAGACGGAAGAGGCCATACTAGAAGGGGTGGGGTGGCTAAGCTGAGGAGGACAGGGGGAGGGGGGACAGGAGCTCCAGAAAGGTGGGTGCCCGTGGGCCTTCCTTGGCCTCCTTCCCCCGCCTGGATTTAAACCTGATTGGCTTCTGGGGTTGTCCTTGAGGTACACTGGGTACCCTGTCTGCATTATTTCTTTTGGTCGTCCTTGTGTAACTTGTCTATATTTGTCCCGATAGGGCCTCATTTCCTGCGGGCCCCTGGGTAGCTAGGAGTGGGTTCTTCGCAGTTGGCTTAGAGTTAGTAGGGGGGCTATGGGCCTGTCTCTTAGCAATACAGCGACCCTAGAGGGAGAGCTGAGTTAAATTCTTCCCTCGACTGTGGTTGAGAGCTGAGTCAAATGCAGTGATTAGGTTCAGTGTGGACCTCAGAGGGAAATTTGATTCCGTTCTCATGCAGTTAGGTTTGTGACCAGAATCATGGGGCAGAACCAAGTTCATGAACCAAAGTACCATCCATGCGTGTGTCTGTGTGCATGTGTGTGCTACATGCTGAGTAAGGTGTGAGTACACACTGCATAAGAGCGTTCCCCAGTGAGCCTCCCCCTCCCCCGCATTCCATCTGAGGCAGAGGAGGGGGGCGCAGGGCAGCTTGTCTTGGCTTCCTGGCTCTGTGTCCTTGGCTTTCTCTGCTCTGCCTGTCAGCTCTCTCCCTCTGGAGGGTTCCAAGGCCATCTGTGCTATCTTGGTGCCTTTTCATGTCTGGTTCTCTTTTTATACCCCGTCCTTGAAACTGTTCCCAGGGGAATTTCTCTAGTAAGGTTTTAACTCCTTTCAATCTTTCCTTGCCTACAGGCCCCACCCCCCAGCCCCCTACTAACCGTGCTGTTTCATTTGATTGGGAGGGTTATCAGAGATCATTCATGCAAAATTTTAGAACTAATGCTGAGTGCTATACAATTGTTCTTTGCTTAATGATTGTCTCAGTTACTTTTCTCTTGTTGCTGAGACAAAATACCTGATGCCCAAAATTAAGGGAGGAAAGGTTATTTAGCTCATGGTTTGTGGAGGTTTCAGTCCATACTCAGCTGGCTCCAAGGCAGGGTGGCACATGGCAGAGGGCAACAGTTCTGGGCTGCAGAAGACAGTGAAAACAACAAGGGCAAAAGGGGGACGGCCCCTTCCCCTCCCTTCTATTTTGTATGCAGGCTTCCCGCCCAGGGCGGGTGCAGCACTCACTGCCAATCCTAGCACTCTCTATGCAGTTCAGGCTGGACTTGAACTCACTTTGTAGCCCAGGCTGGTCTCGAACTCGAACTCGCAAGAAGCCTCCTGCCTCAGCCTCCCGAGTCGTGAGATTACACACGCGGGCCACCATGCCTGTTCAAAACCGGCCTCAAACTGGCAAGAAGCCTCCTGCCTCAGCCTCCCGAGTGCTGGGATTATGCCACCATGCCCGCAGTGCCACTTGGACTTCTGACCCATCTTTTTTTGTACAGTTTTGCACATCTTGCTTATAGAGCCTTAAGGTCCTTTGTACAGTGAACCTTGTTTATATAGTACTGTAATTTTTGCTGAGTGTACTGTTCAGTACAGCACTGTAGTTTTAAGTTCTGTTATACATTATAGTGCTACTGTAAGAATTATTCAAACAAAAGCAAAGTCATTAGGTTGGAGTTTCCTGTGACCATTTCTCTGTTCTGAGTATTGTAATGTACACGCTATATACACTTCCTCATTTAATGACCAAGTCATTTAATAACCTATTCGCTGAGATGGAACTTGGTCATTTTTTGTGGGATTTTTTTTTTTTTTTTTTTTGGTACTGGAAATTGAACTCAGGACCTTGCACTTGCCAGGCAGGTGCTTGTGCCTCTATATCCCTGGCCCTGGAACTTGGTCATTGGAGGAGGGTTGTCTGTACTCAATGTTTGTGTCTGTTACTTTATTATAAAGGAACGTAGAACCTGTACTGTTTCCCAGAAATTGTAGGTCAGGCAGAAACTCAAGGTTGCAGTCTTGTGGAGAATTCCTTCCCCAGGAAGCTTTACTTCCTGCTTTTAAACCTTTGAACTGATTGGATGAGGCCTACTTACCTGCTTTTTTTTTTCTTCTTCTTTCTGTTTTTCTGAGACAGTTTTGGAACTCATGATCCTCCTGTCTCATCCTCCCATTGGTGAAATAACAGGCATGCCCCATCACACCCAGCTGTACCACCTGCATTTTGAGAGTTATTTCCTTAACTTAAAATTAACTGATTGTAGGTATTTAAATCTACTGAACACCTTCACAACTCCTAGACTGGTGCTTGACCAAGGGGCTGTACGCACCCTACCTAGACAAGGTGACAACATTAACCACCACCGTTACTTTAAATTATATTCTTTCATTTTCAGAAAAATGGGACTAATGATGGAGATTATGTTTTCCTAACTGGAGAGGACAGTTACCTTAACTTTACAAAGATTGTGGAGTGGAATGGAAAAACGTAAGTCTAGTGATTTATCAGTATAATTTTTTGTTTTTCATTTAAACTAATATGCATTAAGAAAATTTCATATTTCTTGGATGAAAATGTGTAAATATTCTTTTATTATCATGTCCGTCAAAGTGGGGTAATACACTGTGCAAATTAAATATGAATGATTTGTAGGCTTATGACGGCCAGGCAGTAGTTACAAGCCCTTGACGTCTCATGTGTTTGGGGAAAGAGGGAAGATTCCGGATTTCAATCTCTCTCTCTCTTGCTCTTTTTTTTGTTGAGACAAGGTCTTGCTGTATAGTTCATGCTGGCCTGGAACTCAAGGTTATCCTTCTGCCTCAGCCTCCTAAGTGCTGGGATTACAGGTGCATACTACCACACCCAGCCCAGATCTCTTCATTTTCATTTCATGGTTGTACTTGTTAATGCATTTAGTAAAGATGAAGTACATTTGAATGTAATATTATAGCATTTCAAAAACATTCTTAATTTTAATAGTATAATTTATTAACCGTCACCGTGCTTCAGCTGGTCTCTGAGACTAAAATAAGGAACTGACCCATCCTTTTGCAGAAAAAGTTTGTAGGCTCACATACTTCTGTTTTAGAAAAAGAATTTTCAGGGTACATAAGTAAGAGGTATGGGAAGGGTTTATTAGGCAGAGATGTTAGGATGCACCCCAAAGTGGGGTGTGGGTACTCAGAGAAAGACACATTGTTTCCTGGAAGTGTCACCGGGCTTTGGGGTGCTAGACTCTTCTTCTAGAGGTGGTTTCCAGGTTTTTTTTTGTCCTGAGCAAAGAATTGGTCAATACAAGTGCAAAGGGTAGCAAGATTTTACATTTATTAAAGGTAGGAAAAGAAACAGGTTGTACAGAGGAAATTTGGGCCAAGTAAAGGTAGGAAAAGAAGTGCGCTCTACAGTGTGAGGGAGCCCCTGCAGGGACGCACAGTAGCAGAGAGCTCAGTGTCCACTGCCCTTTGGTATCACCCACTTCTTATGCTGAGGTTCAAGCTAGGCCTCCCTATCAAAACCTGATCGGGTTCTCACGAGAAGTCTATGTGCAGGGCTTTGGGAGCTGTTCTGCACATGTGTGCTGGGATTTTATAGTTAACACTCATGCCTACTTCCCCAGCCAGCTTGGTACATCCTTACCTCCTAGCTCAGAACAGGGAATGTTTGTGCTTCTCTTGGAGTGGTGGAGACCAGAGAGTGAGTGACTCGTCCCCTGGAGGGCAAGTAGCTCACTCCACAAATATGGGAGCTTTTTAAAAATTTTTTTTTTAACTTTTTTTTTTTTAACATGTTTGTAGTACATAATGATTATAGGAACTGTAGGGATTCAGTGCATGTATGTAACACATTTTAATTCTTTCCCTCCTTCCCTCCAGTCCCCTTTTAATTTTCCAGCATCAGATTCATTTATTTATAAGACCTTATAAAGCTAATTACCATACACAGAGTCCACCAAACAAATGTGTACACACTTCAGCAGTTCACCATACTAATAAACATCTGGAAGCTAAAGGCCACCATTCTGAGCACCTCTTGTAATTGTAGAAGCCAAAGGTAACTTGTATTAATCTCATCATGTCTCAATAAATTTAGTATTAAAATATTTATACGAGTTTTTCTTTTCCTGGTGTGTATATTTTGGCAGATTGTCTGTGGTGAGTTACAATACCTTTTTTTTGTCTTTTTCTTCTTATCTGTCTTGTTTCATACCCTATATCTATGTATCTGTGTATCTGTCTATCTATCGAGTTTTTCATATGAAAAATATCATGCAATATTTAAACTTGTGTCAATAGAATTAGGTAAAGATAGGACAAAAAACTGGCAAGAAATAGAAGATAAAAGGATAAGAGGGAAAAAAAAGAAAGAAATTATATAGAGAGGAAAAATACAAGAGAAGTAATAAAGAGAAAAAAATTTTAAAGGGGGAAGAGAAAAAAAAGAAATAAAAGAAGAGATTAGAACAAGGTTGAAGGACAAAGAGAGATTCCTCAAGCCCCAAGAAATTGGTGAAGACAGGAAGGAAGGAAAAAGAAAAAAAAAAAAAAAACAAAACAAAACAATTAAAAACAGTCCTCACACAAAAAACAAAAACAGCCAGGGATGTGGCTCAGTGGTACAGTGCCTGCTTGACAAGCATGAGCCCTGAGTTTGATTCCTGGTACCAAAAAAGAAAAAGACAAAAATAAAAATAATGAAAAAGCTAAACAAAACAAAAAATGCCCAAATGAAAACAAGAAAACCAAAAGCAAAAAAAGCACACATTTCTCTGTGGTTCTGAGCTTGTGGTTATTTCCTCAGGCATATGGTTTCGTGTCCCTGCTCTCCCTGGTAGACAGAGGGGCTGGTCAGAACCCAGATCTGTGCTGGATAATCACCAGCAAGCTGGAACTAGGGTTAGGGTGGGATATTGCTTCTGGGACCTTCAAACCCAGTGAAATTCAGGCTAAACCTGGTCTCTGGTCATGAGGGTGTGGCCTGAGTCATTTAGCTTAGAGCAATCTGGGTTCCCTTGCCAGCCTAACCATGGCTCCCTGACCCTGGGCATCTCCCGTGGATGTGCATCACCAGTCACTGGGAGTTTAACACTGGGAGACCTGAGATGAAGCCAGCCCTGGCTGCTCTGAGTCTAGGTTCAGTTGGTCCATTCCCAGAATGGCATCTGATCAAGCGCTTTCTCAAGAGATGGCAGGCACTTGGACTGGAGTCACTCACTGCTCTTACAGTGCACAATGGCTCCGTTCCATTGGTGCACTTCTCTCTGAAGCCTCTGGAGTCCCTGCTTTCCTTGTGTTTGTGTAGATTCAATCTTCCTTTCTCACGCCACATGCCAAGAGTCAGGAGAAAGTATAGATTAGCCCTTCCTTTTTGTGTATTCTGTTCTGTCTCTTCAATTTCTCTCTAGGCTCCAATTTTCGCATTGCATCCTTCGTGGGCCCCAGGGATCCACCTTCCTCCTCCTTTTCTCCTCTCAGTTGTTATTTTCCAGCGTCTGGACTCTGAGTCTTGGAGAGGCTGACTCGCTGCTTATTGCTCCACCATCTTCCGGAAGTACCCTCTAAACATGCTCTGGATTCTCTCATCCTGTTCCTTTACCTTAGAACCAGGCTTCTGTTCCTTACTTTCTCAACTAAACCAATTTGTGGGCTTTTAGTATTGCTGAACAGTTTGGGTGTGGTGGGTCTGGAAAGATGGAGTGTAAATTAATCAGAGGAATGCTGGAGGGGATCAACCACTGTGGGTCACTTTGCCTGGGTTCTGGAATTTCCAGTCTTTTGAAAAGTATGATTTTTACTTATGATTTCCTTGTCTCCTTTCTACTATCTTTTATTTCTTTTATCCAACTTCACCAACTACTTCCAAAAAGGAGCAGGGGCAGCTTGCAATAAAGCAAAGTCAGAAAAACAAGAAACCTTTGAGGGGAAGGGAGGCCAACTCTTCAGAGCCAGGACAGGCGTTCTGCTCCTGGAGAGTTTACCTCTGGGCTTCCCAGCTACCCAGGCAAAGGGATACAGTGTGATTTTTGGATTGCATTGGCTAAATTACTTCAAGAAAAAGAGACTGCCTCTTGGCTTCAAATTCTGGGTGAAATTCATCATGTGCATCTTTTGTAGAAGAAACTTTGGGCAATGCAATGAAAAACATCAACTGCATTTTTAATCTGTTTATATATTTTTATTAGTATATTTGTAATGTATAATAAATACATTCATTGTAGAGAGGTAACCATGTCATGTGCAGCACCTCAGCACCACAGCACCAGTTTCCACGCATGCAGCAAGTCCGCTCCTTCCTTGCCACCTGTGTGGCATGTTTATTGACCTGCACGTTTGGGCATGCTTTACAATGGTTGTTTTTTGAAAGTTAGTTCAGTGTCTTGCCAATTACCTTAACTGGTAATTGCTAATTCTTGGAGAGAGGCTTTTTTCATTTTATTTTTCCCAACCAGCCAGAGGACTGATGCACGTGACGTGGTTACCTCAGCTCTGTACAGCCTGCGCCACCCAGCCGTGAGGAAAATGCCAGGCAAATCCTAGGTGAGAGGTCTTTTTAAAAATACCTGGTTAGCCGGGTATGGTGGCACACGCCTATAATCCCAGCACTTAGGAGGCTGAGGCAAGAGGGTGGTTGTGAGTTGGAGACCAGCCTAGGCTACAAAGTGAGCTCAAGGCCAACCTGAACTGCATAGCAAGACCCTGTCTCAAAAAGACAAAAAAAAAAAAAAAAAAAACCCCAAAAAACTCCGTTTATATAGCTCAGCAGCGTAAGTGCTTGCCTGGCAAGCCTGAGGTCATGAGTTTGATTCCCAGTACCAAAAAAATAAATAAGTAAATAAATAAAATAAAAATACCTGGTTATGCTGGGTCTGATGGCACATACCTATCCTCACAGCTGTTCTGGAGGCTGAGACAGGAGGATCTCAAGTTTGAGGCCAGCCTTGGCAACTGAGACCCTGCTTCAAAATAAAAACAAAAGAACTGGAAAAGTAGCTCAGTGGTAGAGTGCTTATCTAGCATCTGCAAGACCCTGAGTTTAATTCCTGGTACTGCAAAAAACCCCAGACAGAACAAGAATAACAACAAAGCCTGGCCTTGCCCCTCAACACTGCCAACGCCATCAAGCTTAAAGGGAAGTGTGATAAAGTGTGACAGCCCAGAGGAGCCCAAGGGGGCCCGATGACCAAGTGTCATGTGGTGTCCTGGCTGGGTCCTAGAACAGAAAAGCGTGTCAGGAAAAAAGTAAGGAAATGGGAGGAAAGTGTGGTCTTTGGCCAATAATAATGTGTCTGCGTTTCCTCATCAGTTGTGACAAGTGCATCTAATAATAGGAGAACTTGGGGGCAGAATATAGAAGAATTCTCCGTAATACTACCAGAAATTTTCTGTATATCTAAAACTATTTTAAAGTAAAGTTATTTAAATTTTAAAAAGCACACATATAGAGTGGGGTGTGGTGATGCATACCTGGACTGTACAGCAATACTCTGTCTCAAAGAAAAAAAAACTAAATAAGCATATACATACATGTACATAAACATTTACATGTACACACATACACATGCATATTACATACACACTCAAATATGTAAGATCCTGGAAAGCATCTATAGGACTGGGGTCCTGGGCTGGGGGAAACTTCCTTGGAAACAGGAGGTAGCTAGAATTTGTTTTATGCCCACTCTCTTATTTTCTAATTTTTTTAATAGGAGAGCTTGATCATTTAAAGTACATATTGTAATTGTGTGTATATTTGTGATACAATAATATATTATTTGATATACTTAGAATTATTTCTACATTCTTTTTCACCCTTAGTTTTTTATGATTTGTATTTAACAATTTTTTCCAACAAAATCTAAAACTATTTATTCTTTTGTCTCCTTCTAAACAAGACAATAACTATTTATTTTTGATACAGAGTCTTGCTGTGCAGTTCAGGCTGGCCTTGAACTCACAGTGATCCTCCTGCCTCAGCCTCCTGAGTGCTGGGATTACAGGCGTGGGACACCACACCCTGTTTAACACCCATATGTATATATCTTTATTGTTGTTTACAACATGTTTTACATTCTTAAGGAGCTAAATATAAGCTAAAAATTCATTAGTTTTGCAATTACGTTTTTAATTTTAATTTTTATTAGTACACATTTGTAGTCCATAATGATTACATCATTGTGGGGAGTTGGTACATGCACATAATACATCTTAATTCTTTTTACTTCCCCTTCCCTACTTCCTCTAGCTCCTGGTACCCTAAAATTCATTATTTTTATGGTAACTAAATTTACCAACATATTTTATTTATTTTTGTTGATTCTTTCTTTAAAAAAAAAAACAACTGGGAATCAAACTCAGAACCTTGTGCTTGCCAGGCAGGCCCTTACTTATTTTTAATTTTTAAATTTAGGTATTTATTTGTTTTTGTGGTACTAGGGATTGAACCTAGGGCCTTTGCACTGAGTTACATCCCCACTCTTTCTTTTTTATTCATTCATTCATTCGTTCACTTATTTAAATTTTGAGACAGGGTCTAAACTGCCCAGTCAGGATTTAACTATGTAGTCCAGTTGCCCTCAAACTCACAGTCCTCCTGCCTCAGCCTCCCTAGGACTGGGATTGTAGTCTGTGCCACCACACCCACTTAGTGTGTGTGTGTGTGTGTGGGTACGCTTGGGATTGAACCCAGGGCCTTGCTGTGCCAGCCAATTGCTCTATACAGTGACATCCCCAACCCTATATTTTATTAGTTAAAAGAATATTCTTCTCGCATCTTCCTCCTGGGTTTGCTTTTCTTGCTAAAGCTTACCTGTTGGTGCCCCTGTGGAGAGCGCTGTGGCATCCCTGGGCAAGACCTGTTGTGGGCAGGGCCAGCCCCCCCACAGAACGCCCAAGCCCAGCCCAGCTCTTGCATGAGGATGGGGTCACCTCCCCGCACCTCCAGGATTGTAATATTTCTCAGTTTTGAGTGATTTTAGCCGGTTACCAAATTCTAAGTTGACAATTCAAAGCTACGATGAAATGACTCCATTGACTTTTATCTTCTCCCTTGATCTTGTACTGTGACAACAACGAATCCAGTCTTGAATTTACTTAGCCCCTGTGGCTCCTGGACATACTTTCAATCCATGCGCTCGCGTCTTTCTGAAACCTTTCAGCAGTTTCCGCCTCAGGTACTGCTCCTCCGTACTCACTGCAGTCTCCCTTCACCCTCTTCCCTGTGTTCCTCTGAAACTTTTATTGGAGCCTCTCAGGCCAGTCTCTGAATCTTGATCCTTTGATCTTTAATTTTTGTAAGCTTATGTTTATGTAAATTCCTTACCATTCTCCTCCAAGTCATCAGTTCTGTTTTGAACTATGTACAATGTAGAGTTTCATCCCTATACTTTTTCTTTCCAAGATTTCTTAACTTTTCCATTTTGGTATCTTCATCTTGTCTCATTCTTTCCTCTTCGTTTTCCTCCTCCTTTTTTAATTTCTCATTATTTTTAACCATTTTCCCCAGTAGTAGGGATTGAACCTAGGGCCTTCGTACTGAGCTACGTTCCAGCTGTTTTTATTTACTTTTATTCACTAGCTTGCTCTGTAGTTCAGGCTATGCTTAAACTCTCTATGCAGCCCAGACTGGCTGAGGGCTGGGACTGTGGGTGTGTGCCATCACGCCAGGATTTAGTTTTTATTTCGTGGTAGGGTCTTGTTCAGTCACTAAATTAGCACTTAGTTCAGTCTGCAGTGCAATAAAAAAAAAACAAAAAACAAAAAAAACTTGGAGAATTACTCTTTATTGCCTGACTTTTCCTTACTCTGGCATTTTGTACTGTTTTAGTCCTTTCAAACTCCTACAACAAATTATCATAGAAAATAAAAAAATAAATTTATAAAAAATAAATTCATTCCTAATGGTTCTGGATGTGGGGGATCTACAGTGCAGGCACTGGCGGGTCTGGTGCCCAAGGTTCACAGGCGCTGTCTACCCCCTGCTCCTTCACGCGGTGGCAGGGCGCAGGTGCGGGCGCGGGCTCTCCTGGGAGGACGCTGATCTCTCTGTCACCTCCCGCAGTGCACGCTCGCTACTGCCACCTTGTGGGTTAGGGCTCAGCACGAGAACAGTGACATCAATATTCAGTCCATTCAATGTCCCATCATCTTAAAGACCAATTTTTAAAGACCTGCTGTCTCCTCTGTGCTTTTAGTGAGCATGAAGTCCATTCAGTATATTGAATCTCCTTGTTTTCCAAGAAAAGTCCTCGGTTATTTCTGGAAGAGGAGCTGTCCAGAGTGTAGACTGAGTTAACAGTCCTTGTGCACATAAAGGGCTGGATGTGTCCACCAGCACGCCTGTCTGTGGCCTGGCGACGGACAAGGAGGGTATTATTGCTAAATTGGGCTATTGCATTAAGTCAGTCAATATTTATAGACCTCTAGGTAGGACATGATTTTTGGAGGAAGAAAGTAGAGATTCTGGCCTGTTAACCTTTATCAATATTGATTTGGAGCTAGATGTATTAGTGCACACCGTTAATCTCAGCACACTGGGAGGCAGAGGCCAGAGGATCATAAGTGCAAGCCCAGCCCAGGCAGCTTGGCAAGACCCTGTCTTAAAAAAACACCCTAACAAAGGTGTGTTTGTGTGAGGAGGGGCTGGGGATGGGGATGTACAATCCTCAGTATTGTTAAAAAAATTCATTTGGGGCCAGGGACCTCCTTTTTCTCCCCCCGGACAATCCCTTGCACTCATGCCTATTAGGAATAGGATGCCATGGGTGGCCAGCTCCAGTCACACCCCAGAAGTCCTCGCACTATGTGAGGTACCTAAAGTCCAACTCGATCTTTACGTTTCCTTGCATTTATCAACTGTAGGTCACTTGACTGGTGGGCAACAGACAAATGCAACATGATTAATGGGACGGACGGAGATTCTTTTCACCCACTAGTAACCGAAGATGAAGTTCTTTATGTCTTCCCATCTGACTTCTGCAGGTAGGAACCATAGAATGCATTCTTCCCACGATCACAAGACCCCCAGACTGTGGAGGTCATGAGCGATTCCACAGAGCAGTGACGGACACCAAGGCGCCCAGGGTGGTGTGTGCGGTGGTCCCGGCCCCGGCCCCGGCCCCAGGCTCACTGTGCTGGTTTGGCTCAGCCTTACCACCTAACAGCTGTGTGACCATGGACAACATTGTAACCCCTGGGTGCCTCATCCTTAGCATTTGTATGACAAAAGGGGAAACAGTTACCTATCATTGGGTTTGTTATGAGGCCACAATGCAGGGTACCAAGCACTGGTGCAGCGTTGGCGTGATGCGCTCGTCAAGGCTCAGCTCTGAGTCGGCGTCTTCCAGGCCTCTGAGCCCTGCCCTACAAGAGGGGTGAATGTGACTTCCCATGTTCCAGAGCGCATGACACTGGCTTAGCTGTCACCCCCTTGCCGGTGACCTTGCCGCCCTCCTGTGGTGACCGTGCGAAGTCTCCCACAAGAGGGGCCCCTCTCCCGCCCTCACCTCACTCTGCGTGGACCAGGGGGCCCAGGCTGCAGCCCTGTCTTCCTGCCCCTCCTGGGAGGCGGCAGAGGGACGTCGTCGCCCTAGACCCTGCTGAGTGTCATTATGCCCCCACCAGGGCTCCCATCTCTCACAGTCACACTGCCTACCCAGCAGCATGCCAGACACTGGTGACGCCAGATCTCCTCCCCACCAGGCAGTGTGGCTCCCCTCAGAAGTAGCATTAGTCCCCCCACCCCATCCCCACTACTGGGTCCCACTTAGGCCTTTTCACTCCCTGCGGGAGTGAAATACCTGCGGGGAGGTGAGGAGGAAAGCGGCAGTGGATAGTGTGGAGCAGGAGCACTCAGAGGGCGGGGCAGGTGATAAAGATCTGGCACAGAAGCAGCACGCTGTCTGGTAGACGGGCTCTGGAGACACCTGGGGAAGTTCAGTGGAGCTATAGAGGTGCAAGCTTGTGATTGTACAGTTCTCTTCAAGGTAGGTTCCTGGATAGGAACGCCTCTGTGTATACTCAAGGAGACACAGACAGACATGTACCTTGGTTTATCATAGTGAAAAACCAGAATCAGCTTATGCTTGTATAAAAATAGGAGAATGTAGGCAGGTGTGGTGGTACATGACTGTAATTGCAGCTACTCGGGAGGCTGAGACAGGAGGATCGCAAGTTCGAGGCCATTTGGGACAACTTAGTGAGACCCTGTCTCTAAAAAATAGAAAAGGTTTGGGACTTAGCTCAGTGTTAGTGTGCCTTTGGGCTCAAGTTCTATGTCAGCCTGGGCTTCTAGGCCAGCCCGAATAAAAGGGAGATAGATACAGAGAGAAAGAAGAGGGGAGAAAGTAAATATGATGTAGTCATGTGATGGAATATTATATAAGACTTAAGAGAACAAGAGCTTTGTACTTTAATAAAACTTCAAAATATGTTGAAGACGTAAATCACCGATTGAGAATATGGTACATTGTTTAGTATTTTAAAATCACAAATAATGACACATATTGCTAGTGAACACACACAGCAGTGAGGGTATAAAGGCTGCTTTGGGATGAGAAACCCCACATTCCAAGAGCAGTTTCCTCACGGCAGCAGAGGAGGATGGAGCCAAGAGCATTATACAGCAAGTGTCAGTTGTATTTGTTGTAGTATTTTCTGTTTGGCTCAGGTACTTCCTTAATAAATGTTATGGGGACAATGTACAGTGGAAGGCGACTCCCTCATCAGTCACAGCCCTGTGAGAGACACATCCACACTCGCTTCACACACCAGACAGCCCTTCGTGTGGCGCACACTGGTAGTCCCAGCTGCTTGGGAGGAGTCCAGCCTGGAAACCTAGTGAGACCCTGTCTCAGAATGAAAAATAAAAAGGGCTGGGGGGGGGTATCTTAAAAGTAGGGGACCATGGGTTCAATTCCCAATACTTCTGAGAGAGAGAAAGAGAGAGCCGGAGACAGAGACAGAGAAAGATGGTGAGAGACAGACGGACAGACAGAGACACAGAAACAGAAAGACGCAAAGAGGAAGGGAGGGGAAGTGAAGCCAAGGAAGCCGTTCCTCTTCCCCCTCCCTCTTCAGCGAAGAGTTGGAAGACCCACGAAGCCAGGTACAGGAAAGTGCACTCTCTGTCCAGTGCTATGCAAATGTAAGGGGACAGTGTTAAAAATGTGGAACTGCACCTGAAACTCAGGAAGGACCAAACGCAGGAGAATATTGACCCCAAACAGAAACAAACTGGGGAAAACGTAGAAACCTTTTATTTGGGGACGGGGGTATCACAGTATAGTCGTGTGTCATTTAACAGGGACGTGTTCTGAGAAACGCGTGAGCACGTGTGAACATGACAGACTGCACTGACACAGCGGAGAGGGCTGTGGCATCACTGGTGATGTCTCATTGGATCCTTATGTATGTGCCCATCACTGCCTAAAATGTGTGGTGCAGGATGTGGATATCCCAGTCCGAAATCTGCCCAATGGGGCTCTCTCTTTTCAGGTCTTCAAGACTCTACTGGGCTGAGCCTCGTGCCTGCCCTTGTCTCTCTGCTCCCTGCCTCTGCTCCCCACCATGGCCTGAGTCTATGCTGGCTGACAGGACTCTTTTCATTTACTCATTTTTAAATGCAGTATCTCTATTCCAAATGTCAGTATTTACAAAATCGTCAGACCAGTGCCAAACATATATATAATTGGTGATAACTGCTCTTGTTATTAGTGTTAGTAGATTTATTTAGTCTGTATAAATCAGCATTTAGAATTGTAGATGAACTCTTAAAGGAATTTTAAGGTAACACTTGGGTCCTAATTAACTGATTGCTAGGGTCTGTGTTATCCAAGCGAGCCTCAAACTCCCAGGCCCAAGCCATCATCTTGCCTCACCCTCCTAAGTAGCTAGTGTTAAAGGTGTACACCACTACATCTGACTTACACATTACTGTCTTAATTTTCCAACACACATTGTTTTCTCTTGGCCTTGTTCTTGTTAGCATAGTTGCCACCTCTGAAATATCTCACTACAGATCATCTGCTTTGTCACACACTGGGTTGGTGGAGCTCGTCCCAAGCATTTTTTTGCATCCTCATTTTCCACTTAAACCCTGCAAGTCTCTAGCTGCGTTGTGCCTGACACCTGTTGCTTAGGGACTCAGGCGGGCCCTGCTGCCTGCAGTGCATACTGACTTTTTCTTCTCACATCCCAACAGGTCTGTGTATATAACTTTCAGTGACTATGAGAGTGTAGAGGGGCTGCCCGCCTTTCGGTATAAGGTGCCTGCAGAAATATTAGCCAATACCACGGAAAATGCTGGCTTCTGTCTCCCAGAAGGCAACTGCCTGGGTTCTGGAGTGCTAAACGTCAGCATCTGCAAGAACGGTGAGAACCAGAGAGGGGCTGTGGCAAGGGCTGCACAGGGTGTGAAGGCCTGGAGTGCAGGAAGGACAGGGTGCAGCCACTAGGAAGGACAATTCTGACCTCTCAGAGTATGCTTTGTTACTGGCTATGGAATGATTAAAAAAATTACTGGTTTTCTGTGACGCTCAATTTTTAGAATGCCTTGTGGCATTTTTTCCTGAGCAGTAGTTTCGGAGGCTTACCTGTAATAATGGCTCATATGTATTGTGCTGCTCTTAAGACATGTAAAGCATTAGCTGAGGTAGGTTCCAAACAGTGCTGAAAGAGACACTAGACAACTCGGTTTTAAGAAAGTACCTATCCTGGCAGAGATTCTCAGTTTTTTGAAGCAGAGTTAGTTTTAAATCCTGACCACAAATTTCCCAGCATTTTTTAATGTCTGAGCTTTCTGCTCCTCATCAGTGAGGCAGAATTATTAGCGAGACTGCTGACAATGGTGTCTCTCTGAAGACTAGTTTTACTAGTCATATGCTGCAGGATTGTTCATGATAGCCTACTAGATTGATGTGCAGTGTCTTTGTTTTATAACTGTGGAAACCAAGGCTCTGGGAGGGAATAACTTTTATGTAACCACTGCTTCTCAAAAAATCTTCACTAGGACTCAGTCTTTTCATATTTGTACTGGTTCCCTTTTTAGGGTGTAATTCCTCCCTAAAGTTTCCCTGGAGAAACTTCCCTTTTTGTAACCCCTCTCTCCTGAATAAAGTAAATGCAATTGGCTTTAAAAATCTCCTTTCAGAGCTGGGCATAGTGGTGCACGCCTATAATCCCAGTACTTGGGACGCTGCAAGTTCAAGGCCAGCCTGAACTACAGAGTGACATGCTGTCTCACCTGCCCTAAAAAAAAAAAACAAAAAACAAAACAAAACAATAAAATCTCCTTGCAGGATAAGTCTGAGGTCAACAAACCTCTTTATTTTGGTCTGACAAGGCAGCACCCCCCCAAACCTGGCCCGATATCAGCATTATCTGGAGAACTATTAAAAATGTATGCCCCAGGTCCTCAGAATCTATATGTTTAACAAATGTTCCCAGTGATTGCTGAGAAGATGGTGTCTAGGTGTCTGGAGACTGGGCACATGGGTGCTCCTCTCCTGGAGGTGAAGGTTAACAGTGAATGGGGCCTCCTCTCCCTCTCCATCTAGGTTAAGTATCGAGTTAATAGTATCCATCAGTATTGGGGCCTGTCAGGTTCACAATCTCCTGAACAGGTGTACGGTGAGGGTAAATAAAAAGAGGCAAGTGAAATGATTTCAGGTTCCAGGAGGATTAAAGCCCTTTCACAGAATTTGAGATTCTCTCAGGCTAAGACCAACACCTTCTCTGGGTGGCCTATATTTATTTGGTTATCAGAAGAAGGGAGGGAAATACTCAAGAAGGGAGGAATTACTCAAGGATTTCTCGGGGGCTGGGGCTTTAGCTCAGCGGCAAAAGCGCCTGCCTGGCAAGCGCAAGGTCGTGAGTTCGGTTCCCGGTACCGGAGAAAAACAAAAACAAAAACAAACAAAACAAAACAAAACAAAAAAAAAGGATTTCTCTATGTAAGGTATTAAATTAATCCTAATAAAGATTAAGTTAATCCACCCAGGAGTGAAATGCCTGAGGCTATAGTCTGTATCCAGTTGAGATGGATACAGGTGTCCTTGGCTGTGATCTTGTCTTAGATATTTGAGGCTTTCTGGCTTCATTTGCCATTACAGGTTTTAGTAGGGATTAGTGACTCAGAGAGGTTCTCTTACTATGAGTCCATCGTCCACTTCCAGACAAGTGGATTAGGCTTTGGACAGAGCCACAAGTAAACATAAAAAGCCAGTTGGTTAATTTAAGTCCTGATCAGGGCTGCTTCACAGTGGTCTCTATTAGTTAAGGGTGAATGTAGATACATTTTTCTTCCATTTTGGCAATATTCTTCTTCCTTCAGAAGTTGACCTCAGAGCCAACAGAAAGATTGTACTTTCTAACACTTGGACTTCTGGCTGAAGTCTGTTTCCTCTTTCTTCTTATGAATACCCAAATTTGGGCTGAAAATTTGAGGGTTATCCTCAATTGTTTCCAGTTCTCCAGGGAACATTTTAGAAAGTGAGAGAGAGCGCTCTGGAGTCAGGCAGCTTGAGGTTTGAGTCCGGCCCATTCTGTTTTTTTTTTCCGGTACTGGGAATCAAACTCACGACCTTGCGCTTGCCAGGCAGGCGCTGTGCTGCTGAGCTAAATCTCCAGCACCCTGGCCCATTCTGTTTGTTATCCAACTGGACACATTGATTACGGAGGGTTCCATGTGGCAGTCTTCCCATCAACAAAATGGGGGCAATTGTAACTTTGGAAGGTTGTAGGAGGGCTAGAGATAATGTATGTAGCATAACTGAGACAGTGTCTGGCTCTTAGCAAACCCTCAATAGATATTTAAATACTAAAAGCCACTGTCAGTTACAGAAAGGGAAACTATGGTTTTGTGTAACTTCAGCAGTAAAGAGCAGAAGGTGCCCTGTGAGAGAAGGTGTGCACTGTGGGCTGGGGCTGGTGGTGTGAGAGCAGGTTGAAATTACTTGCCATAGGCTAATTTCTCCAAAAATACATTTCCCTGTTAGCTCTGATTGGGTTATTCTCTTATTTTCAATATTCAGATCTAGAATAGATTGCTTTTTAATAATGTTTTCCTATTTGGCTTTTAAAGTGAATAGAAAAGGGGGAAAACCCCCAAGTCTTCATGTGAGCAGAACTTCATTTGGTTAGTGGCTAAGCATACAGCACAGTCAGGGAAACTTTTAAAAGTTCTGGTGTCAGCATATCCAGAACAAGGTCTACCTTTGGTTAAGAGGGAAAATAATTCCATTAACAAGTAGAGAATTATAAGCTGGACGTGGTGGCGCACGCCTGTAGTCCCAGTACTCGGGAGGCTGAGGCAGGAGGATTGTTGCGAGTTCAACACCAGCCTGGGCTACAAAGCAAGCTCAAGGCCAGCCTGAACTGCATAGCGAGACCCTGTCTCAAAACAAACAAACAAACAAACAAAAACAAGTAGAAAATTGTAATTGATTGTTTGTTCTGTTTTTTTTCTGGTACCGGGAATCAAACTCACGACCTTGCGCTTGCCAGGCAGGTGCTGTGAAAATTGTAACTGAAATGAGTGCTTGGAGGTGGGCCGGCTTCATTTGATTAGCTGCTGCCCTAACCTGACAGTTACTTGTCTCTGGGCAAATTATGTAACTGTTGTGAACTTCAGCTTCTTCCAATGCAAAATGATAAAAATTCTCATTTCTTAGGGCTGCTGGAGCATTAATGTATATAAAGAATGCAGACTTAATAGTTTCAGGAAATGTTTTTTGAAGAAGAAATAGTCAGGACTTCAATATATAATGTCAATAAAATAATGTGGGTACATGAGATGGCAGAAAATAAAGCATAAATCTTGAAGCGGGAGGCCTAGAAAGCTATTTTAGCTGCCCATCTCCCCATATTTACTTAGCTAAGGTGTTTTACTCCCCTTCAGAACTAAGTTTATGGTCAGGAATTTTATACTTGTCCCAGATTTTAAAAACAGCATCATTAATTTCTATTTCCCTCCAAATGCAGGTGTGCCCATTATTATGTCTTTCCCACACTTTTACCAAGCAGATGAGAGATTTATTTCTGCCATACAAGGCTTGCATCCAAATAAGGAGGATCACGAAACTTTTGTGGACATTAATCCCGTGAGTACACACTTCTTCCTGGAAAACAGGTGCATGCTTTACTCGGTATTTGTAGTATACACTAGTTTATCCTTGAGCACTTAACAAACACTGTCTTCTTTACATGTATATAGTCAAGTGGGGCAGAAGTACCCAGTGCAAGTTGAGGCAGTCTTGCAGCCTGAATTAGAAACCTGAATTCTGTGGCTCTAATATGCAGAAACACCAGCAAACCTGCTTTAAACTAACAAACAAAAAGCAACAGTGAACACTCAGTCATTGGAAACACCCGAGATTGGAGCGCTACCCCCCACCCCCTGCTCAGTCTTCTGCGGCCAGCTGTGATCCTGAACAGAGATGCCTTTCTCTCACTGGGACACAGGTCAGGGAGAATGAAGATTACACTCTGTTTACCCACTGCCAGGAATATTTTGGCTGCGATTTAAGTATGTATATTAGTTTCAGTCACTTGTAGCAAACCTCTTTTCACTAAGAATGAGGAATTAAGAATTGATTATGTGATATTACAAATGTAGAAAGTATAGAATACATACACACCAGGCCTTAATTCATGGAGAACAAGTATAACTACGTTAAAATGGCAGGAATATCACTTCCCCCTGTGAGGGTCTGTCACTGCAGAAGCTAAGTTACAGGTCAGATATCTTCATCTTGGGGACTTTGAACGCCATGGGACAATAAAGAAAGCAAACACTTTCACTTAGCCCTGTATCTGGTCATTTCCTGTTTGGCCACACTCATTGCACGTACAAGGAGAAATCAGAGGTCAGTCAGTCGGTCAGTCAGCCTGTCACCTTGGGGTAAGCGCACCTACACCTCGGAGCATAGGGGGTGCTTGGGAAGACAACTGCAGCAACCACTTTTCCTGGGCTGTATTTGGTGACCCTAGGCTTGGATACCATTCCTGATAGGAACCGCACCCTCCTGATTTCTGGACAACTGCCTGCATGTCCAGCCCTGCTGGGCTTTCCTCCTGAGGCTGGAGTCCTCTTGGGCTTTCTGTGCAAAGTGGGCACTTGTTAGAGATGCCCAGGCTTGACACGCCCCCAGGCACCTGCTGAATCAGAACCTGCATTTTAACAGAACACCCCAAGGGCCCACATTCATCTTACTGTACTGGTCAACTTCTCATTCTGTTCTGGGGATCGGTTTTCCCTTGTACCTCTCTGCCTGTCAGACACGTAATGGCCACCCTGTTCCACAGAAATGGTGTTTTGTGTTTTAATCTTGACATGTTCTTTTCGTTTCTGTTTTGCAGTTGACTGGAATTATCCTAAGAGCAGCAAAGAGGTTCCAAATCAACATTTATGTCCAAAAGTTAGAAGACTTTATGTAAGTTTTGCTTCTTTCTACAGAGACTGGTTTTGCTACGTGACTTTCTGGTGGGGTTGATGTAAGGAGGAAGATAGTCTACTTCTAACTGCTCACTGCAACCCTTCAGGGGTGAGGCTTAATCATGTTTTCATGGTATCTTGGTCTTGGGATTTGCTGATTTTATTTAATCAAACACTTACTAGGTACCTTCCTTGCATCAGGCATTGCTCTGAGCACATTACAGGCATTAACTTAGAGCTTTGTATTATCCTCATTTCACAGATGAGGAAACCAAGGCAGAGAGAGCTTGAGTAACTTGGTGGGACCCACACAACTCTTAAGGCTGTGTGCACAGATCTGCCTTTGTCCACTGCCCTGGGTGTTTCCCTCACCCACACCTGTGGTTGCACTCCTTCTACCCGCTTGCTCCCAGCTGAGGCCAGCGCTGTCCTGGAGTCCAGCCTCTGCCTCCCATACTCCACTTATAGACCACTCCTTAGTGCAACTTCCCAAGCTCCTTTTCAGTGGAATTTTGGGGGATATGAAAAGATATGAGTGAAAAAATGGGATGGAGCCTATACATACTGTCAGTCAGCTTTTCGGTCCCTGGAAAAGAATACCTGACACCCCCAACTTAAAGGGTAAGAGGTTTATTTTGCCTCTCATTTTTAGAGGGCTCATCCCATGGTAGGCTGACTTCAAGGCCTAGATTGCCTATGGGATGAGAGCGGAAAACTGCTTAACCCATGGCGTCCAGGATAGAGAGAGCGCAGGAAGAGCCAGAGAGACAGCTCTACCCTCTGAAGGCCGCCTCCAGGAACCCGCCTTCTGCAACTGCACCCCCAGTCCTAATAGTACCTTAATTCACTGGCGAGCACAGCACCCCCAATCCAATCACCTTCCAAAAGCCCTGCCTCTGAACTCGAGACTTTTGGGGGATATTTTAGATCTACCATAACAATACTGTCTACCAATCTTGAGTTGCTTCCCCTGTTGAATTCATCAGATTTTTTTATTTTTTTATTTTTTTGGTTTTCCTCCGGTACCAGGAATTGAACTCATGACCTTGCACTTACCAGGCAGTGCTGTGCTGCAGTGCTGTGCTGCTGAGCTAAATCCCCAGCCCCTTTCATCAGATTTAATCACACATGTCATAGTTCTGAGAAGGAGATATGGTTTACAAGGAGCATTCTCTGGCGGGTGTCATGGCACATGCCTGTAATACTCGCACTTGGGAGGCTGAGGTAGGAGGATTGCTGCGAGTTCGAGGCCAGTCTAGGCTACAAAGTGAGTTCAAGGCCAGCCTGAATTGCATGGTAAAACCTTGTCTCAAAAAGACTCGGAAAGAAAAAAAAAAGCATTCTATGACTCAGGTATGTATTTCTGAGGCAGTATAATTTAGTATGTAAGTGGAACCTTGGAACCAAAATGAAATTATAACCCTAGATCCACTACTCAGTTGTGATCCTGGCCAAACTACCTGACCTCTCTGAGTTGTAATCTGTAAACATGGGACAAAATAACACTTACTGCATATGACTGGTGTAAAAATTGAATAAAATGATGTCCCCAAAGCACCCAGCACAGAGGTGGCAAGGACTAAGCTGGCTCTTGTTGGAAGACAGTCCTTAAGTGGCCAAGTGACAAACTTCCTGAGCAGTGGCAGAAGCAGTTTCGCTGGGTGTGTCTTCCTGTGATTGTTCTAGTAAACAGATGGGTTTACTACCCACTTGATGGGTTTGCCAGATCTAGTAAACAGATGGGCTTACTACCCACTTGATGGGTTTGCC